TCAACAAACTTTGGATCACTGAACATCTACTGTTTTAGATCATTCTCAGCATTTGGTGTGTGTGAGAGAGAGGACACACGAGAGCTTGTATTTGAGCTGGGAGTTGTAATCTGTAGTCCTGACAAATAAGGAAATGTCTAGGAAATCTTATTACCTCTGTGGATAGAGTATGGATAGAGTGAAAGAGAGGGAATCTATTAGAAAGGACAGGGCTCAGGGTAACAGCACTTCTCTCTGAAAGTCCATTGGTGCTTTAAAAATGGTGACTATCTGGAGGAGTATTGTACTGTTTTTAACTCACATCATATACCTAGTCTTCAAATTTGGTGAATCAAAAAATACTTGGGAGTTTGTGAAAATGCAAATAGCTGGCCTTAAACTTAGGTTTTGATTTAGTAAAGCCATGCAGCTCCAGGGGACCTGATTTTTAACAAGCACCTTGTAGTTCATTCTTACACAGGTGGTCCTGAGTTTAGCAATTGAGACACTTACTTGGGAGATATCAGACATTACTCCCCCACAACTGTAGAAACTGGGTACAATTGAAAGCATTTTGTGAAATGCTTTTAGGCACACTGTACTAGGGTCCAGGAATAAAAAGTTAAATATCAGGGGAGAGTATAAACACAAATGCCTACACACAAACACAGACACACACACACACACACACACATACATACGATAAGTACTGTGATAGTGATAGAAAAATGTAAATAAGAAAATTAAAATGTAAATAAGAAAATTACAGTTCTCCCACAAAAGAAATAAAGAAAGGTATAGAACCAGAATAGGGAAAGAAAACTTGAAAAAAAGAGAGGGCTAAGTCCTGAGCTATAAACTTTCCAGCTATTTCTTGAACATTAGCCTGGAAGGGAAAGAGAAAATATAGAGACTAAGAATCTAACTGAAACTATAATATCTAAAACTAAAATAAAGTATACCAAAAGGTGAATGCATAGCTCTAAGAAATTTATTTACACCACCTTTATTTCTGGAATAATGTGCTGATTTTGACTAAAAAGTGTTGAGCATGGATGCCAAAATAGGTGAATTCTTTAAAGTTTGATAAAAGCAGCTATAGTAATAGCATGGCAGCACTTGTACACAATAATTTTCTTGCTTAAGCTTCCTAGTCTGTGCTCAGAAAAGGATGAAATGTTTGTCATATATTTGCATAAGCATTATTCTATCTCTACGCTTAGTCTAGCCATCTTTATTCTGTTCTAGTATTATTCCAGAACAGGTTGGAGATGCTGAAAATAAATGAGATGCACTATTTTAGATGATGTCTGTTGTGTTTAAAACTTATAAAAAGACAAGGCAATTATAAAGGAACTCAGAATGTAGTCAACTTTTTGAACAGTTTTTGTGTAGTTTGTTTACCATGTCTACTTTTTTCACTTTGGTTTAGCTCAAGGAAATAACCCTATGAAGCAATTGGAATTAATATATAATGCTTTCCTCAGGAAACAAAGTCAAATACTTATTTTGAAGGAGACCCACTAAAATTTCCACATAAATTCACTTATAACTAAATTTGTACAGAGCTGGAAAACAGTATTATTAAGGTGGTAGTGTCTCACCAAGATTTTCAGGTTAAGATGTTAAAAATATATCTGGAAGGAAATAAAAACATTACATAGGAATGTTATTTCCAGGTTACAGACACCTGGGTATTTTAAAATTTGTACGTGATCTCCTGTCCATCCATGTTCTCATTAGTGCTTTTCACCAATTATCTCTGACTCTTCTGGACACAAGGCAGCTTACATTTTCCCATCCCTTTACATTAAGTGTAACAGTGTGACTTGCTTTGTGAATGAATCTTGAGAAGTCAAATGTGTCACATCTGGGAGGAAGCTCTAAGAGCTCTTGTACAAATTGTCAGAACATTTTTCCCTCTGCCATGGCAACCAGTTCCAGATGTGGAGTTTCTATTAGCCTTATTACTGGAATGATGTGGCCCAAGGTGTCACCCTGTCACCCTGTGTGTGGCTGTTTAAGCATGAATCAGAAATAAACGTTTTGTTATGGTTTGGATATGAAGTATCCCCCCCAAAACTCATGTATTGGAAACATGTTATCCAATGTGGCAATATTCATAGATGAAGTGATTAGTTTATGAGAGCTTAACCTCATCAGTGGACTCACCCATTTGATGGATTAATAATTTGAATAAATTACTGGTGGCAACTGTAGATTGATAGAGCAGGACTGGAGGAAGTAAGGGGGCATGCTCTTAGGGATTACATTTAGTCTCCTTGCTCACTCAAGCTGAGCAGTTTTCCTTTCCACACTTTAGGTTGTGATATTCTGCTTCAAATCAGGTTCAAAGCAATGGAGTTGGCTGACCATGGATTGAGGCCAAAGTAAACTTTTCCGCCTTTAAGTTATTCTTGTCAGGTATCTCAGTCACAACAAATAAAACCTGACTAACACATCTTTGTTGTCTTAAGGCTTAAATATTTGGAGTTTATGTGGTTGCTGGAATACAATTTAGATTAGTCTATTAAATCAATGTCTTTTAGGATTTTTTTCCTATATGTTGGGTGTTTATAAATAGCATTTATAAACATTTATTGTGAGCATTCCACATCCTACTATGTGTCATTTTTAAAATATCCTATTTCTTACCTAACTTCCTTGTCCTATTATTTCTGATTACTGATCTGACTTCAAATTTTTTAAAATGTTCAAATAATCATGTATAAATGTTAATGTGAATTTGTTATATGTAAATTTTGCCTTTCAATCTTTCACTTATTTTACAGTAATATTATTGTTATAGCAACTGGTCACATTAATCCATCTTCTCCATTCTATTGCATTATATCATTCTAAGGAGAAAGTGCAACACATTAGTAATCTTTATGAATTCTTGTGGTGTAAATTTTAGAAGTACCCTTTTAATGAAACTATTGCTTTTTTGCTGGAAAGATAATGGTGATGGGGAAGAGGATGCTAATAGAAATTCCAAGAAGAGATCAAGTTCCGGGAACATGTATGTTCAGAGTGATTACAAAGCAATTTAATTTGTACAAGTAATTTATTGCCCCTGACTTCTGATATCTGAAAATCAGAAGTTAATTTCAAGGTAGATAGCTAACAGCATTCTAGATTTTAAAATTGTTTATAAAGATAAAAGGATAGGATAACATGAGGAATATCAAAGGACACCATGTTATTTGGGAGAAAATGGTAAATAGCCATATTTTAGCTGTTGATTATTTACTAGGTTTTTTCCTCATTGAGAATTCTTTGGGGGAAGTATACTGTGACCTTTGGAAAAAAGCCTTTGCCAACTCACGTTACATTGTCTTTCTACTCTTAGAGCATAATTTTATTTCTATTTTTCCAGCATTTGAAAACAAGTCTTCAGGTAAAATTTTGAATGCCATGATGGGTCTCAGGGTATTTAATCATTTTTATACATATTTTCTGAAAAATCAAGTGATGATATTCTGCTAATAAATGATAAGTTTGTCAGTTGTAGTCCCATGAGCTTTATAAGTGTTCTCATAATTTTGTTAAGTTAGTGCTCAAATTGTTTAAGGTACTTCATCTTTAATAATATAGAGTTAGATGCATTCACATGAAATCTAATGATTGATATTAAATCTTAATAGATATTTTGTAATTTTTGTTATATTCATGGTAAAAATATCATTGAGTCCCTGGGTATTTTTCATATACATATACACATGGAACAGAGTTCTACATGGTGCTCAAGAATTAATAGTGAAAATAAGTAAATAAATAGATTGGTATTTTAATCATGGTTAACATGATTGATTTACTTACTTATTCATTTGATAGATATTTAGCGAATAACCATATTTTAAACACTAGGCTAGGCATCATGAATACAGGGAGGAAAAGGATACGGTACCATCCTTAAAGAGCTCAAGACTTAGCTGGGTATACTTATTGATTATATATGAATAGATATTGACTGTAGCCCAGGATGAATGCCACAGCAGGGATATATGGAAAGTACTATTGAAACAAAATAAAGATTAGTTCTCTTACTAAGAACTAATGAAGGGACCATTGAGGGCTTCACAGAAAAGGTGATATTGGGCACTTAATACAATATTTATCGTTTTGGTCTAATTAATAATATTAGAACTACTGAGCATTTTACCACCAAATCTTCAGTGGATAATTAGAGAACTTTACTTTGAAAATAAGTTATTTCTAACTTTTGTGTCATGTTCTATGCTTTGGAAATTTGGGGGGTTTAACCTAGGATAAATATTTTAAATATTTAAGAACAAAAATGGTAAATCATCACATATACTGAAAATAGAATTAAAATAGGGCCCAGAAAAGTCCCTAACAATACCTGTTAACTATTTAATTATAGAGTTATGGATGGATCTCTGTATCTCAATTTCTCATCTCTTAAATATAACTATTACTACTTTCTTCCATTTAGGATATTTTTGAAAATAAAATGAGAGAATGTGTTTATACTGTGTGACACAATAGTATGGAGTATAAATTCAAGAAATTTTAGACATTATAATTTTTAAGAATAAGTAAGATCAGACTTGACAACAAACTACAGATATAGGAAAAGGTGTCGAACAATTGGGAAGGTAGAAATAATGGAAAACAAGGCTTTGCAGAGAAGGACTATTGAAAATTTGAAGATGATGAGATTGGCTCTTGAAAAGGTTATTATTATTGGAAATTGTCTAGGTAAAATACTGACAATACAATCAGTATTTTTGTGGGGGATAATTATTTTATATTCCTGTTGCTCCTAATTTCAGTGATCATCTATGGTGATAATGAGCAGTGCTGGAGTGAGATGTCAGTGTTTGATTGTGGCTGTTTGCAAACTCTGCTATGATTATACTCAGTTGTCTAATTGCTTAATTTATTGATGTTTGCCTGACATGTTTTTCAGCAACATTTGTGATTGCAGATAACTAATCATTTCTCTTCTGGCTCATTTTCATAGCGTTTGCATTTGATTTGTCTGATTGCTGCAGGTGGAAACAATAGGTGATGCGTACTGTGTTGCAGCAGGACTCCACAGAAAAAGCCTCTGCCATGCCAAACCCATTGCTCTTATGGCCTTGAAGATGATGGAACTTTCAGAAGAGGTGCTGACACCTGATGGAAGGCCAATTCAGGTAACCCTTTGGCAACCTGGTGTGAGTAGTAAACCCTTTAACTGGAGGTAGGAGGAAATTCCCTTTTGAATTCTTACTGCAGTTTATAAATCTAGACTAGTCTTAAGGAGAACAAGGAATGACCAGGAAAAAGAAAAAAATGGAAAGTGGTTCAAAATTGGAAAAGGTACGTGGAAGACAAATTACCATGAAAAGAAGAAAGGGGAAGGATGATGGTGAGAATCAGAGTCTGAGGGGTAATCCAAGAAGTAAAATAAAAGCATCAAGAAAAGGGAGAACCTGGACAACTTCCTGTAGGGAGTGTACAGTTGTCCTTATGAAGCTTCAGACCTCGGAGTTCTTCATAGTTTTCATATGGCAGAGCTTCAGGGTTGGATCCCAATAACTAAAGGAATTTTCAAACAGTAGGAAATCTAGCTTCTGGTGTGTTGTACTTCTTTGGGTCTCAATGGCTTGCCACAATTTGGAATCTACCTTGGTGAACAGTTGAAGTCATTTAATTATATTTCTGCTAGAATTCAAGGGTAGACCCCAGAATTGTCATTGCTGTTAATGCTTGTAAACCAGAAATATTGTCTTTAGAGAAGTAAACTTGAATCCCATACAGTTCTTTTATAATAGCTAGCCAACTCTGGGTTAAGAAAAAGATATAGGGAAGATGGTCACAATGCCACACATCTGTAATCCTAGCTACTTGGGGGGTTGAGGCAGGAAGATGGCAAGCTTGAAGCAGCCTCAGCAACTTAATGAAACTCTGTCTCAAAAAATAAAAAGGGCTGGGGATGTAACTCAGTGGTAGAGTACCACTGGTTCAATCCCCAGTACTGGAAGGAGAGAAAGAAAGGAAGATAGGAAGGAAGAAAATAGGGGGGAAGTGGGCTCAAAATGTGTTTAACATTTCTCATTCTAGCATTAGAGCAAATTAGTACTGTGAATGACACTTCAGATTAAAACTATTAAAACACCAGGTTAAGTATTTTCTAACTGTATGTAAATAATATTTTTTAAACACTATTAATCACATCACTGAGAAAACTCATAGGAAAAGGAGAAATGTGCCAATTACACTATGAATAGATTTTTTAAATGGTAAATTTAAAATTTTAGCAATGGTAGTAGGAGATTGGGGAATACTGTTTTTCCCTGGAAGACATTGATTTTAATTATATCCTCAGATAATTTCCACAGATAAAGTGCTCTGGAAAGTGAGTTGCTAATACTAGGAAAAGAATAAAAACAAAACAGAAGCCTCCAAAGAGGAAATAAGTACTATAGCTAAGAACCAGCAGAAATCATAGATGAAGAAAAACAGATCTGAAATATTGTCACATATTGAAATTATAAAATGCTGAATTAAACTGACAGTGCTTAATAGAATTAAAGAAATAAAAGGTTGGTAAATGTGAATAAGGAACTAGATTTGAAAATGAACCAGAGAACTTCTAAGCAATCAACATAACACTTTCAAAAGGAGGAGAGCTGGGCATAGTGCTGCATGCCTATAACTCAAGCGGCTCATGAGGCTGAGACAATAGGATGATGAGCTCAAAGCCAGCCTCAGCAAAAGTGAGGTGCTAAGCAATTCAGTGAGACTCTGTCTCTAAATCAAATACAAAATAAGGCTGAGGATGTGCTTCAGTGGTCGAGTGCCCCTGAGTACGCCCCCCGCAAAAAAAGCCACAGAATTCAGTGGATGGAATTTTAAAGCAGATTAGATGTAGATGCAGCAAGACAATTGCACACTGAAAGGTAAAACTAAAGGAATTATCATTGATTAAAGCCAGATAATTAAAACTGGGGAAATACAAACAAGAGAATATAAAATATGTAGGACACATGGAGGAGAAATGGAGATATGTAATAATGTTTAGTTGGGGTTCTGAATAGAGATATAGGAACTGTTAAAACACATTGATGAGTTGTAAGACTCAGCAGTTCTAAAGAATTCTACAAAAAACATCATTCTAAACACATCCTAATGAGATGAGAAAGGTAGAGCACTTGATAAATTCTAAAAGTGGCACTGATTAGTAGAGAAAGGATGGGCTCTTCAATGAATGGTTTGGGGACAATTGCCTATCCATGTGGAAAAAAATAGACATTGGTTCTCTATGAATCTATACATATATCAATTCCAGGTAAGTTATAAATACATCCTCAATTTTGACATAGGTTAGGAAAGAGTGTTTTTGTGAGATAGTCACATCAAAAATTTGTAGATCTTAAAGAAAAATACGTATAAATTTTACTATATTAATTTAAAACTTTTCTGTTTATCAAAGAACACCTAAAGAGAATAGAAAGACAAGCACAAACCAGCAGAATATTTTTTATAAAATATGTAACCAATAAAAGTATCTCTGACTAAACTGATAAGTAATCAGATCAATATAAATTGAAACACCATGACATAGAGTTCCTGCCTACCAATGTGATACAGCTTTCCATATGTGACAACGCCATTGTTGATGAGGATCTGGAGCCTGGGAAACCTCACTCCCAGCTGGTGGCAATATAAATAGTAGAATTCATTTGGCACTTAGAATGTTTAAGTTGTGCATATCTTTCAATCCAGCAATTCCTCTCCTAGATGTTTGTCCAAGGGAATTAGTAGTAGACATGTAGCTAAAGTCCCATGTAAGATTATTCATAGCAGTTCTTTTCATAATCTCAAATTGGAGAGAACTCAAGTATCCACCAACCATCAAATAGGTAGGAATATATATATATTTCTATGTTAGTGTTACTCTACAGTTGGGAAAATGAATCATATCAGCTACTGACAGTAACATGCATGTTTGCCAAAAACATTGAACCACCATTGACAAACTCTACAGTGCTATCTCAAACTCAAAGCTGGCAAAATTGAAAAAAATAATGCTATTTGGAAATACCTACATTGATGGCAAAAGTATAAAGGAAAAAAAAGAAATGATTAATACAAAATTCTAGATGATTCTTACCTCCAAAGGAAAGAAAGATGATGGGAAGGAAAAGGATGTAATGGGGAAAGTGAAACTAGTGCAGAATTGTTCATTTTATTACTTTTCTTTAGTATTTAGTATACACACATATATATGTATATATGTTTATATTTTACTTTTTAAAGAGTGGTGTTTTCTTACCATTCTTATCAGTAGTGAAAATAGAATTTGGGAACATTAAAGAAAAAAAATCTAGGTTATGTTCCCTCAGGGCATAATTATGAGTGATTCAAGTGTATGAATGGAGGCACCTCAACTACTGCCAGGCAAACAAACTAAAGGAATACTTTCTCAGTTTGTTGAAAATTGCAAGTACACACATTCCTGAATGAACTTGAAATTGATTTCGTCATTGTCAAAACAAACTTAAGTTACCAGAGATCAAAACCAGGGAATTGTGTTTTACAGTGTGCTCATCAATATTTTCATTTGCGGGATATAATATTAGTTCTGTCTCGTGAATCAGATAGTTTTATTAAATCAGAAGAGGAAATGTCCATAAAGATTTAATAAGAATGCAGAAAGAGATTTCAGAATAATAAAACCCCCTTAATAATTTTAGCTTCTTTACTAATTTATAATATTTTCATGGTTTGGAATTATTTTTTGGCATGTTAATTTGATTTTGAATTGCCCTCTAGCTTGGTGCCATGGGAACATTTCTAAACTTGAGAGAATCTTTCACTATGAAATGCATGAGTGTTGCAGTAGAGTTCATATATGAACAGCTATTTGTTTACCTCAAAAAATATAAATTTTATGTAAGTTTTTATGTTATTTAAAATATAAAGCCATATATGTTGCGATAATTTCTAAAAATAAAATTTTCTCAACCCCTCAAATTTTGAAAAACAAACAGATAATTCTAATATGGCTTTATAAACCAAAGAGGCTTCCTGTAATGATGGCAAATGAGAATGGAAAGAGTCAATTGTAATTACTTGGAAGTGATTTGCAATGTTTTTGTCTCATTAATTGTAAAACTACCTGCATTTATTTTTTCAGTTAAAATTAATCAAGCAATGTAATGTATTGCCATTCAATCCCTATATATTCAAGCAAATTACTGTTCAATAAGTACTCAAATGAAACTCAGAGGCTAGTATTAGATAATATCTATAAAGTATACATGAATATGGTATTATACAATGAATTATGAAAAATTAGCCCCAGTGACTGTAATTCATACTTATTTTGAAAATAGTGATTCGAAATTTTTATGCTTGATTAAAATAATGCATTGTTCTTCTGGCTGAAAATATGAAAATGCCAGCATTATGACGATTCCTTTTAAATCCTCCCTAGGGAGAACCTGATTTTCTGGTATTTTTCAAAAAATAGACAATTGAAAAGTAAAATCAGATTTCTATTCTCTCTCTTTTGTTCAAGTTAGCTATATTGTGATTTCACTAGAAAATGTACAACTTTATGCTTTTAATCTTGAGAATCTAATCTTACAAAAGTATTTTAGCTAGAGTTTTTAGTGCTTACACTAATAGTTTAAACACTCTGGTTGAAATAACCAAACATTTATTACTGCTTGTACTTTATTCTTATAAAGAAGTATGTTTATAAAGAAAGAGAAATTGGGTTGAGGACTGACTAGAAGATGTGATTAAATATATTATAAAAACAAGAAATATTTTAAAAATTTAAGCTTTTTAGGAATATTGTGTCCAAATGTTTAAGTTTTAATTCTGGACTGCAGTTTTAAAAAAAACTATTTTCATCTCATACACATAACAATTCAAATTCCCTTCATTAGGTCAGAGAACAGTACATTTCATATAATGAGGCAATTATAGAAAGATTACAAAGCAGAGTTAAAAAACAATGTGTAATCATGTTGTAATACTAATGTGTTTAGCAATCTCAATTGCAAATCAGGGAAATGTTGTGATTTTTTTTCTAACTGCCTAGTCAAAAGCAGAAATATTAATGTATAATTTACATGTATTGTAATACATTAAATTGTAGCTCCTTAAACTTCAACTTCTTCTAATGAGTTTACAGGAT